GCCGGGTGCACACAGCCGGTGCCTGTTGGCGAGACCACCCGCTTCCCTCGCAGCAGCCCTGCCGCGGACCAAAGATGCCGTCCGCCCTCAGGTAGACCTCATGCCGCTATCCATTCCCTGTCACAAGGAGCTTGCCAACAATAAGAAGTGCCGATAATGCAATGGGACCGTGTACAAAGCTGTTATTTTCCTAGCGCAGATAATGAGCAAACAGAGACCTGAGGTCACCCATTTGGGGTTTTCTTAGGCAACAATTCTTCCTTTGGCGGGAGGTTACAGTTGGCGGCCTTCAGGCTCTCTGCACTCCCAGTTGAAAATGCTGTTTTCTTTCTTACATTCTGTGGTCAAAGGTCGATTTCAAGGCGTATCTACAAATGACACTTAACTTTGAAAAACATATTTCTGTTACTAACATGAAGACCTGTTTATTTTGCATGTCGTGAATTTCTGTGGGCACTGACTAAATCCTGAGAACTAGCAAATTCACAATGGTAGTTCTATGTGAGGTGCTTTGGGGACAGTAAGGAGACAGACACCCTCCAGTGACCAGAAAAAATAAGACCAGAAAGGTATATTTAAGACTATGACTTGGATAGAGAATAAATCCAGGCTTTACTATTATACAGCTAATTTACTTAATATCATCAATGATTTATATTTATTTAATGTTTACTTTCTATTAGAAATCACCTGTAACATGCTGTTTTGAGGCATAGAATTAAAGGGACTGTCTTTGAATTTCAGTAATCCCATTTTAAATTCTCATTCTGTCAGCAACCAGTTTGTGATTTCAGATAAAATATGTAACCTCTCTGAGCCTTGGATTCGTTATCTATATTGCAAAGAGTTAACACTACAATTCTGTAGCATAATTCTGAGAATTAGGGTCAATTATGTTAAAGAACCTGGCACGTAGTACAGATTCCAAAAGTTAGCTATTACAAGAGACTGTTTTGTGAACACTGAATCTATTTTAACCTACTTGTCACTATTTAATGCTGCTCTATTTGTACATCCTTGTGCTCAAGGTTGACTGTCCATTTGTTAGCACATCTGCATATTCCTCATAATTAATATCTTTTTTAATGACATATGGTTTAGTGACTGGAAATTGAGTCTTGCCTTCTGTTTTCAATTTGTTTATGACTCAACGACTCAATATGTGTGTCTGAACTCTAATTTCCCATTCTGGAAACTAGAATTTAAAATCCTTGCTCACATGTAGCCATTTCAGAAAATGAGAGGAAAATGTGTACTCCAAGGATTTTGAACATGCGCCAGGCTCTCCAGCCAGGATGCACAGAGATAAAAGGTCAGGGCTCCTCTTGAGCTGTGTGACCGGGGGACCTGAATGAGGAGGTCTGTGGCCCCGTCGCTGAGCTGGGAGCAGCCGGGCTGCGCTGCGGTCAGATCCCGCATGAGGCCAGCAGGGAGCGTCACATCTGCTTGGAACGAGCACAGGCGAGGTTGATGGATGTCCCTGGTGCTGGAGTTAGGCCGAGGACATGAGTATGCAGGTGAACTAGGGGTCCCCGAGGTGGGGCCCCTTGTAGGCCCATCCCTCTGAAAGGCAGCGTCCAGGGCACGTGTGGGCATGAGCTTCCTAACTTCTGAAATCGCTGTGGAGTGCGCCTTCCTTACGCTGAGCACACGTTCTGTGTCGTAGCCGTTAGAATCATGTCTTACCTCTCTATTAAATAAATATCAGATGGATCGGCCCATCCTGCTTCTGCCGATTTCTGCGCTTTCCCCAACCCGGCAAAGAACCTAGTGTAGTGACATTCCATAGCTTTTATTATAGAATTAAATTTAATACAAAATATCGTGGACTTCTTTGGTATCTTTGTGTAGTATTTTATTTTAGTACTTTGAAATGCACTCATATGCACACAAAAACAGACTGTACTGGTAACATGTTGGAGCTGTCCTGAGAAGTTGGTACTGTGAGAATCACATTGAATTTATTTTGTCCCCAAAACTTGACTGTTCCAGCTACTAGAACCTTACTAAGGCCCTGGTCATATGGGGGGGAAAAAAACTCTCTTTTTTTGTTGTTTTTTTTTCCCCCCTTGCTAGAGCTCCCCACAGAGTCCTTTATATTTGTATGGAGCACAGGTGGGGGCAGTCTGTTTGTTATTTGTTTGGGGGGAAGGTTTGTGGTTTTTGTTGTTTGGACAGGGATGGGTCTACAAGTACCCATCATTTAAAAGTTTAATAAAATCTTACATTCAAAAGATTATACCAGTTAGAGTAGTCTTACCCGTGATTAAATTTATTACTTAATCTTTTGTACTCATTTTGCCTTAAAAAAAAAAAAAAGGTTAAATTTGAAATTTTATTAAGAACTCCCTTCCTTTGAATTTATAGGTTGGGGTAGCTGTTTTATCCAGTTGTCGTGTAGAATTAGTATTTACTGGACAAGATGTGTTGATTCAGGAGGTTGTCTGTGGAGTGCTTGCCCCACGAGGGTCATATTAAACTTGAGAGAAGCTTTTTGAGCAACATAGCATCTTGGAGACAATATATCAAGCTGATAGATGCACGACTCTCCTGTTAAGAAACCAGGGGTGGAATTATGGCTAGCTCCCAGTTATTGCTTCAGTGCTAAGGAGCCTCTAAGGAATAGGTTTGGATAAAAGGGGTTAACCAGAGGGGAAAGAAAGGTTTCCAGAATTCAGTGTTGCTGAAAGCATGCAGAATGAGTTGTGCTGCATAAATAATTTAAGATGATCACTCTGTTTCGAAGTATTTTGCAATTTTTATATAGTTAGAGACCAACTTAATGGAGTACATTTTTTGTTATCACTCAGAATTCAAGATGATATTGTTATTATTAGGTCTACTTTTGGACATTTCTCTGTTCTTACTAGCGCAGTAATGTAGTTTTCAACACTGGAAGAGGTTATTTTTGTGTACATATTTAAAATTATTTATTTTTCATGTTCATAATTTGTTAGAGCTGAGTTTTATTCAGAATTTGGATTGTCAATTAATTGGTATTCCTTAACACAGAAATAGTAACAAAAATGTAATCCAGTGAGAGACATGGCTTTATAGGTTATACGTTATATGAAGTTCACTCTTTGTCTTTTTATGTTATGTGCACTTCTTAAAGATGAATTAAATAATAAATATCAAATGAGAAACTATCATTGTTAAAACCATTTCAGTTCACCGACTAAATATTAGTTAAGAAATCTCTAGCAGTGGATGTCCTTCTAAGCAAAGATTTAGAGTTAAGCTGTTGGGTGGCCAGCCTGGGCAGCAGGCCTGTGGCACTTCCTAGCCACGTAACATTTCTGCAGGCTGGGAGAACGGCTCCTTCCCATTCCACCTTTCGTCAAGCAACCAATGACCTCTCACTCAGCGTTGGCACTGAGACCTTTGCTTTTATCTCGGTCCCTGAGAAAACGGACACCGACCGTGCTTCCTCCACCGCAGCGAACCTGCTTGCCTCTGCGTCCGTCCGCAGCCCCGACTTGGCAGGCGCTTCTGTGCAGTGGGCGCACCCCCGCCCCGCCCCTTGCCTCCCCCCCCCACCCCGCTTCATTCTGCAGCCACTGGGCACTGCCTCTCAGGGCTGCCGCATGTGCCCTGCCTCGCCTCTCGCTCCCGCACAAGGAATTTGCTCTGATGATTATTCTTCCTTCTCTGGCATCATTTTCACCAACCTTCCTGGGTCCTTCTTTAACAAATAGCCAGATATTTCTTTAGCAAAACAGGCTTATTTGAGAACATCAAAGAATTACAATAGAGGACATGTGGTCTAAAGGTGAGCCACCCACGAATCCCAAGAAAAAAGGAGAGGATCTCTCTTTTATAGATGTGGGAGGGGCTGTTGTCAACGGAGTCTTTCAGAGGAAAATAAAAATTCAAAGCAGAGTGATTTTCATTGGCTGAGTTGCGGCCGTCTCCCATTGGATGAGCTGTTACTGGGCAAGGAAGACCCCTTCTTCCCGCCACGTTCGGGTAGTAACGTGGCATCACTTCCTGTTGGAGAAGCAAGGCACATCTCTTATGTTGGGGACAGTAGTATGCGAGGACTGACCTAGGTGAGTTCTCTCCTCTAGTCTCCATTTCAAATGAGGCGTCTGTTACTAATTTTCACAGGTCTAATAAGCTTACATATGCTACCATATTCAAGTTATACCTGTTGGAAAAATTAATAACCAGTGTCATCTTGTATATTGTTTAAGTAGAACAGGCCCTAGTTTCCCTCCTTCCCCCTAGGCCTTCTAGAGCTGTTCGAGCAGGTCTCCAGGAGAGATTCTGTCAAGCAGGGATGCCGAATCTAGGAAAGATTTGTCAGAGCTTCATCTAGACTGCAGAAAGCAACACACATGCCCCGCCTTGCAGCATTTTTAATAAGTTCATAATCACTGTGAGAAGCAGCGGCTGGTTGTGTATAAATTCCTGAGGAAAGAAGTTTAGTTTTTGTATTTCCATAGGTGAGAATTAAGGCCAGAAAGTGCTAATTTCAGCCAGTCATATATATTTATCATTGTAAAAAAAAATAAATGATAATAAGCCTTCCTCAAAAAAAATAAACAGCCTTCGTGTTCATGAGTAGTACTGGGATTGAAGTGGCAGTGGGCGATTTTGGAGAAAATTGGAGAAATAAAAGATCTGGACTCCTTCAGTGTTCACTTGCTTGATTGTTGAGCGAAAGTTAAAATTTACAAGTACTTTAGCATTTGCTCCAGTAGATTCCCTGCACGTTTTCAGTTAGATAAGCAGAAGCACAGTGGGGAATGTGTTGCACGTGCATTTGTCTTGCTGTTTGGGAGTCTGGCTTCGAAGAGTGAAGTCCTCCTGTAACTGTGTTGAACAATAAGGAAGTACGGTAGTGCAGGAATGAAAATGTTAAATTAAACGGACCATGTGGAACATTGTTGTGGATCCCGAGGAACAGTTTCCCCAGTACATGGAGCGTTCCGATCCCATGCAGCATATGTCGGGCACCGTTTTCTCTGCTCTAATTCATCCATGGCCGTCGACAGCTCCAGATGGCGTGCTGCCTCCCAGGCTTTCAGCTGCCACTCCGACCAGTCTGCAGGTCGTCTGGTCTACACCAGCTCGCAACAACGCTCCAGGCTCTCCCAGGCACCAGCTCCAGATGAGGCCGGGCCGCTCCCCCGACGGGTCTCCAGGGTGAGCATTACACTCCGTCCATCCTCCCAGCTGTCACCTGGGCAGCACGGGGTAGCCGTCACATCACCTTATTTTTTCCTGTTGGTTAAGTTAAATTTATTGGGGCAACATTGGTTGATAACATCATAGAAATGTCAGGGGTTTTTTGAACACTAGGTCAGTTCTCATTTGCAGCAAATAAAGGTCACCCTTTAAAAGTTCAAACAAAAAAACAAGCAACACCCTAGGAGATGATTATTTGCTTTGGAAAAATATCTAGTTTTCATTTATATAGCATTTTAAATAAGATTTCTTTGCACTTAATTTTTCATGAGCACATGCATTTCATAAAGCAAGCATACACGTAGCTACAAAATTATAATACTTATTCAACAAATTCTGTGTGGCAATCATCCTCCATACTAGACTAGAATTTACCCAGTGCTACTATCATTTACAGCTCATATAAATGCAATATTATGAACCCTCAGCCAAATGGCTACTTATTTTAAAAGAGGTATCATGTGGTAACAGAAAAGTATAATACTTAAATGTATGTTGATGTTCTCTGAAAAGTCCTTGGAATCAGGATTTATTCTTTATTCCTTTGAATGTCTAAAGCTTTCTGACTAACGTTTGCTCCCTATAGGTTATTTTCCAGTCCCTCCACGTCGTTGAGCTATGAAGTGAGAGACCTCCAACCGCACACCGGGTATGAGTTTCGGTTGGTTGCCTCCAATGGATTTGGCAGTGCACACAGTTCTTGGATTCTATTCATGACGACAGAGGACAGTAAGTGGTCTGAACAACACACAGCCAAATGTCCTCTCCTCTGGGGACTCTTAGATGTCTTCATTTGTCCTAAACCAAGAAATAAGTCTTCTCTATTTTTCTTTGACATTTAGTGACAGTGGTCTTTTGGAGGGCAAGGGTGGTTAGACTTCTCAGAAAGAAGAAAAATGTAGGTTTGGAGGCATGGAGGGTTGGACGCACAGACAGGAAGATGCACTTCACAATAAATTATGATATGGCCCCATTCTGTCCTTAAAGGCACACCTAGGTGTCCTGCAAGAGAAAGGTCATCATCGTGTGCGCTATGACCAAATGTTGCAATATTCTCTGCTAGGGAGGGGTTCTTGCAAGTAGAACATGAAATATGGGCCTAACTTTATGGGGACGCTGAGGGCACCATAATACCTTTTTCTGGGAATAGACTTCATAGCACTCCTTCTGGCACTTGACGGATAGCCTTCTGAATTGAGCACTGTAATCCAACAACAGTGATTCTGCGTATAATGCATAGAGTAGATTGGGATTGCCTTATTCAACCAAGAAAGACAAGTGTCTGGTTTTTCATGGAAGAGTTATGTTTGCATATGTATGTTTTCAGTAGGTTATGTAGGAAATGAACACATGGATATAATACTTAGTTTTATAGAAATTACCTCTATAAAAGCATGTGTATGGAAGTATAACTTTTTAGAGAAGTAAACTAAATCAAGCTACACGGAGTGAATGAGGAAACTGTATCTTGGAACAGTGAGGTTTTTAGGGTTAATCTGGTCAAGTCTTTCCATCAGAGGCTTCTGAGAAGATGCTGTTCTGTGGGCCAACTGCAATTCTAGCTCTGCATCCGCTGCGGATGTGAGTGACTTCCACAAGGGTAGGCCCTGGTCAAAAGGCATAGTGTAGTGTCTGAAACAATACCAGTTGTTTATTAAAGATAGAGATTCCTCTAGGTCTGCAGTATCCTTAATTACATTATTTTTGTGAGGATAAGACACATCAGGGAAGATAGAATCAGAACTATTTACCTTCCTCAAAGTTTATTTTACATAAATCTATTATAAACAATAATATATAACATTTCCTTCATTTCTCCCAGTTCTCCCTGGGAGCAGATTAGATACTTTACCAGGGCACCTCCAGGGCTTGCGGCCTGGACGGCAGCATCTAGGAAGTGATCGGCACCCCAGCAGGGCCCGGAAGGCTCGAGTGCACTGCGCGCCCACCCACACCCTTGGAGGGGGAGCGGCCTGCACTCCGGGGAAGCCGGCAGCAGGGTCACCCACTGCGCACCGACGTACGGCCCGTAGAGCTGGCTCTCAAAATGAACTCTTAAAGAGAAATTGAAAAAAGGAAGATTAGCTGAAGGTGATGATTCAGCCCAGAGCAGGGGTGATGGCTCCGCAGAATGCCACACCGGACGAGGGAAGAAGTGGGCTCCCTTCTGGCAGTCACAGTGTCTGTTGCCACAGGGGCAGGGTGGGGGTGGGTTACCTGAATGGCGACGCTTTCTAAACAGGGGGCATGGTCTCCTGTCTACAGGCAGGAAGTTGCCCTTAAAGTCCAAAGCGTAGCAGAGTGCCTATCCGTGCAGCACTGTTTGCTCCGCAAACTCCTCTGCCTCCTTTTACCCCAAAACAAATCTTGCAGGCTCTGCGTGGGTCGCATTGTCATGCACAGAGATGCGGCCTTGTCTGTTGCTTTTAGGGCCTGGACTTGAAGTGAGTACTATTCTTCCTTTGTCTTCCTTAAGTAAGAACCAGCAACACCCCCACAGTCATTTTTATGTAAGTCCTTCCCCTGAGCCAAGGACCTGCCCCTGCCCTGCTCCTGTGCACTCTGCGCCGTCAGGCCCGTGAGCCCGGAGCCCAGGGCCAGCCGTTGACCCCTCTGGGTCAGTGGCCAGGCCACGCTCGCTCCTAACAGAAGATGGCAGTGCAGTCGGTGTTTTGGGTGTCAGTAGAGATGGATGCCATCTCAGAAAGGATGTGCAATTGAGTTGACAAAGGCTGAGTGATTGGCATTGGGCACAAGCAGTTTTTCTGTCAAGGCCTCAAAGCATCGCTTATAAAACCACCCGTGCTGACAGCTCCAGCGCCAGCATCTCACCTCTCGCTCTGCGCTGCCCGGCCCCTCCCGCTGTGCAGGAGAAATTCGACACGTCCTCTTACCAAATGAAACAGGGAAGTCACCTCACGCCCACGTTTAAGTTCCGTAACATCGAGAGGCTCCTTTCTGCATCAGCCAAAGCCTCAAATCTTCCCAGTGCCCAAAAGGTCACTAATGGCGATATTTTTAGTGCGAGGTACCAAGACTGATTTCCATCAAGGCTGTGACCAGCTGAGGCCAAAAGGAGCAACCTGGGCAGTAAATGAACAATAGCCTCCAAACCAAATGCTTGGGTGCAAAGAGAAGTTCCCATGGGCAGAGGACAGGGCTCTGAGGAATTTTTAAGTTAAATGTATTGGAGTGAGATCGGTTAATAAGAGTGTATAAGTTTCAGAGGTACATTTCTGTGATGCGCGATCTACATACTGCACTGTGTGCCGGGCACTCACAGTCAAGTCGCTTTCTGTCGCCGTATATTTGACCCCCTTTGCTCTTTGCTGCCCCCTCACCCCTTCCCTCTGGTAACCGCCACACTGTCGTCTATGTCTGTGAGTTCCAGTTTTATATCTTCACTAGAGAATAAACGTCCTAATCAGAGAGGCTGCTGCTAGCCCAAAGCCATGTGGTGTTTCACAGTGAAGTGGGGAGGGATATATAGAAAAAGAATCTCAAAAGGGAAGCAATTTTCTTTTTTCTTATGTTTGTAACCTGTAGTGAGAGCAAAGCGCTCTGCGCCTTTGGACAGGGAGGAGAAGTGAAATGGGGTGTAAACTTTGATTGATTGAGGAAGACAATGCTAGAGCAGGGTTTTCCAAATTATTTAAGCGCATCTGGGCCCTAAGAATATTTAAATTTTACGGCTAATATTACGTGGTGAACATCTTTTTATCTATGTGTTTTAGAAGTTAAAGGCTCAGCCTGCATCTTAAGAGTGCCCTAATATGAGAGAAAGATGGAACATTTTTATGAGGATAAAGCATATTCATATCAGATTTTATTTTACTTAATGAGGAAATTGAGCTCTAAGTTTTAGCAATGCCATACAGTTATTTTGCTCTCTCTTTCCCAAATATGTTTCCTAATTGCTTTAAATACTAAGCTGCAAATGCTGACATGTCTGTCCTTCAAACAATGATAGGGGTAGCTGTTTGAACCATAGCAGAAGACTCACAATGAAAAG